CACTTCTCTGCCATCTTCAATGCCAAGTCCCCAGAAACAGGAGTTCTCCCCCCTGGAGCTTCCCATGCAGGGCCTCAACTTTCCCTTCTCTGTAAAAAGGCCCTATACCTCCCAATTCCAGGGTCCTCGGGGCTAGGGCTCCATCTCTGTCTGGCCTGGACGGGGGGCCATCTCAAAGAAAATGCTGGGTCAGCCTCGGACACCTGGAGAGACAGGTAGTGGGCAGTGCCAGGCCAGCCGCCCCCATCAGAGGGGATCTCCCTGGAGCGTGCTCCCTCAGGGCTGGGGAGACTGACAGCCAAGAGGGGCAGGTGAGACGCTTGGGAAGGGAGGGACACTGGACAGTCCAGGGCCTGCAACACTACCTTCCCGGGGGGCTGGAGGGAGCTGCCAGCCTCCCGTTGTCCTCCCACCTACTTCTGGGACTCTGGGGCCTCTCTTTTGGCATCTCCATCCATCCATCCACCCATCCATCCATCCACCCATCCATCCATCCATCCTTCAGCAGATGTTTATGAGTACTTCTTGGCTCCATCCAGGTCAGTAAAGGAGACCTGGATTTGTACACATACCCTGACTTGTAGGACGGGCATTATAGTGGGAGGGGTTGGACAGTCAATCGTGATAAATGAATGGGGTACCCTCTCCAGGAACAGGGCCTCTGTTTCGCTCTACGATCATTATGACCACCACACCGGTTTTTCCTGCTCCCCTCACTGTGGCTCTCCCAGGCTGTAGAGAAATCCGGCAGCTCCGACCCCAGAGCCTCCCCTGTTCTGGGGAGGCCCTCTGTTCCTCCCTGGCCCTCAAGGATAAAGGCCCCCCAGTCCCCTTTTCTACTGTCTGAAACTTCCCTCGTCTTTCCTTTTTCCTTCCTGAAAGGAATTCACCTCAGCCTAAAAATACAGAGACCGAACTATCAAGAGCAGGAACATCTTATTAAATAAGGTGGAGAGAGAAAGAAACAAAATTACACGTGTCTTCTTTCATCCCCCCACCCCCTCCTGGCCTGGAATAGTTTAATATCGAACCCTGTTATCAATAAAATTAACCTCCTCAGACATAATTTTAAAGTCTTGTTTTTTAAAGTGATTTGCATTCTCTGAAGTTTGGGGCATCCCGCCACCGACGCCCAGGCGGCCCACGCAGGGAGGTGAACTTCAGGTACATCTCCAGCGGATTTGCATACCTGTCTGCAATCACCGCCAGTGATAACAGCTAATGCATAATGCATGCGGCATGAAATTAGAAAAATAATTAACTTCAGGTTTTAGAAGAACTGGCACCCCCACCCCCACCCATTACAAGTTCTCAATGGCAGCAGCAGACAGATCAGGGGCGAGGTTGTACAGGGCCAGGCCGGAGGGCCCTGAGGGGAGGTGCCTCTGGGGGCCAGGGCTGGGGAAAGTCCTGCTCACCCAAGAGCCCCAAGTGCTCCTTCCTGCCCTGCCCAGCGCCCAGCCCTGGGCCCAGAAGAGCTGCGTCTACCAGGGGCGCTGAGGGTCCTCTCAGCAGCCAGGGTGACCACGTTTCATCCTTAAGAGACCCCGGGGGTGCACTGCTCATGGCCTGAGACCCAGGGGTGCTCTGGGGAGGTGGGGCAGCTGCCCCAGGTCCCCCTTCGGGGGACTGCTAGTCTCTGCCACCTCATGTCCCCTCCCCCACTCTGCTGAACACAAGGACCTGCTGTCAGTCATTGGGCTGGCAGGTCATAACTCACACCACGCTGGTGTCTGCGGGAGCCACGCGACGAGCGACCCCATAAAAGACAGGCGATTTACCAGGTTTGATCTGACGGCCACATAAACCATCAAACGCGCCACAGGGAATGAAAAGGCCTCCCGGCACCCTGGCAATTACAGGGCCCCTGGGGGGCAAGCTCCATCCTCCCCACCCGCAGGCCCTGCGCTGCTTCACTGGAGCCAGAGAGCTCAGTGTTGGGTGGCCTTGGGGAGGGGGGTGGCGGGGGGACTCAGCCGAGATGGATGAGGCCACAGACAGGGGAACGGAAAGGCCTTGGGTGCCTGCCTCCCCAGTGCTTCTTGATTACCCACCAGGCGTCTCTGAGAGACACGGTTTACGCTCTCGGGACGCCGGGGCCTCTGGGCGAGGGCTGTAGCTGTGAGCCGATGTCACGCGGAGGACGTGGCTGTCGGTGGGCCTGCCCTGCCCAGCCCACTGCCCGGCATGGTTGCGTCTGGAGGCCCCACTGGGTGACTCGGCAGCGGACAGACCAGGGACGGGGTGTGTCCTCTGGCCAGATGCTGGGGACTCAGAACAGAGCCCCTCCCGGCTGAGATGAGACCCTCGGGGCTGCGGACGGCTGTGAGCAGGCCCTGCTGCCCGGACCTGCCCGGCCTACCTCTGCTCAGAGCAGCCTCTGACAGGACCGCCAGGCCCCAGCCCCTTCTCAGCTGCGGCTCCAACGGGGACAGGTGTGCAGGTGGAGGCCTGCATGGCCGGGCAGTGGACGGGCCCTGCCCCTCTGAGCCTCAGCAGTTGTGAAGCGACGGAGGGACGGAACCTCGCGCGCTGTGAGAGACGGACGCAGGTACATCGTGCAGGCGGAGGGAGGCTCACCCTGGTGCCTGCTCTCCTGGCCCGCGGCGGCACGTCCAGCTGGGAGCCCCGCTGGGGGAGCCGTCCTCCCCACGGTGGGGGCCAGTGCCCCTCCGAGCCGCTGGCATGAGGCGAGTCTGAGGCCGAGTCTGAGGCTGGGCCAGGGCCGGGCAGCCCTGGGTTTACCAGGGAGGGGAGGAGCGGAGGAGGCGCTGGCTAGCGTGGTGCAGGGCACTGGGGGGACATGACAGGAGCAGGGCAGCAGGGCGACAGCCAGGCCCACCCAGCGCCGGCGCTTAGCGTGCAGGAAGCAGACCAAGGCCAGGTTCAGGCGCGGGGCGAGGGTGGGTCTGGACGTGACTAACCCTAGCCCGAGCTCTGGGGACAGTGAGGAGTCCCCTGGCAGGCGTGCGGCCCCTCGGGCCGGCAATGCCTCGCCTGCCCCTTCCTCCAGCTCCCCTTGGGGCTGGGAGACACAGGCTCGTGTGCTCATCCCCACCCTCACCTGCTTCCAGCGGCGGGTGGGGATGGGGGTCCTTGGCGGGCCTCTGACCTGGCTGGAACCCACCTCAAGGACCAAGAAAGCTTCATGTTCTAACAGACCCTGAGCGGAGTTAGCGGTTAGCCATGGGCATGACCATGGGGCAAAGGCCCCTGAACGTCAGGGGGGCACCAGTATGCAGGGGGCCATGGGGGTGGTCCTCCTTTGCTCAGCCCTGCGCCTGCTCCCTCTGTCTCTGACGTAAGCCACACAGCCACCGCTCCCACCCTTGAGCACCAGAAATCTGGCAGGAACACTCGACACCATCACCAACCAGACAGCTGGTCCCACAGGTGTGGCCCCAGGCATTAGACATGGCACCGGAGCCCAGCGGAAGGGCAGCAACCTCGTGTTTGGGGGAAGATTAGGTGACTCGTATGTCTGTACAGGCTTAGGCGAAAGCGCTGCTCTGGTGCAGCTCTCCCAGCCCAGCAGGACAGACCCCAAGGGCTAGAAGCCAGGCTGGCACGTGACAAGTGTTCAGTAAAGTTCTGCGGGATGCCGGCTGGATGCATGGACGGTGGCTGTGTGCCTGGCTGGATGGGTGCAGGCGAGGGGAGCTCTGTCTGGGCAGCAGACCTAGCAGAGGAGACAGCTGAGCTGGGTCTTGAAGGGCGAAGAGCAGGTGCTAGCTGGGAGGAGCTGCCGCAGGAGGGTGGTGCAGGCAGGGCAGGAGGGTTTGCCGCCGTTTAGACATGGAGACCCTGGGCTCCCGGGGCGCGGGAGCACGGCCCCCGCAGCCCGTCGGGGGGCAATCTCCGTTCTGCACGCGGGGCCTGGCCCAGACCCTGAGAGGCCATCATGTCCACTCCTGAGGAGGCTTCATGAGCGCAGCGCATCGGGCAGCGGGAAGGCACCTCCCACAGAGGCTGAGAGATAGTTTCTCTTTAATTCACTCTTCCTACCACTCTGAGCCGTAATCTGGGAAAAATCCAGGCTGCAATTTTTCCATTTGTGAAAACGGAAATTACACCTTGTACACAGTTCTCACAGAGCACAGACCCCCTTCTATTTGTGTCAGTGCAAGAGAAGCAGAGAAGCATCTGCGTGTACACACACGCTCACGCGCACACACAGCCGTCCGGGAAGGGGCGCGGTGGCATCATCATCTCCCACCAACGCGGAGCGCGTGCTGAGGGAGGGCGTCTGCCCTGGAGAGGGATTTCTGCAAATACACAAGGAAGCTGTTCTGTTGACACCTTCTTGCGGCTCTAAAACCATGAGTGACAAACAGGACGCGCGGTGACACCCGGCGTGAGCGGCCTGCCCTCCACTGCACGCAGTGAGACGCCGCAGCTTCTCCCTGGCAGCTGCTGGCAGCGCCCCCTCCTGAGCCCGCAGGCCCCCGGGAATCCGCTTCCCCTCCCAGCCCTGGGTCAGGGCCGACAGGCCCCTCCCCAGCGGGAAACAGTGGCTCTGGCCCCCCCGCCCCGCCCCCCTCCATCCTGTGGGCCGGCCACTGCTAGCATCAGGCCTAAAGACAGGCTCAGGTGAGCCCCTGGGTGAAGTCCACCCCCTGAGGCCCACGGTCCTGTCCACTGACTAACGGCGGCACTTCTGCTCCCCATGAGGTCTCACAGCGGCCAGCTGTCCCTCAGAGCCCAACGCCAGCCCGCGTGACCGCCGCCCGTGGCCCCGGGCGCTGACCGCTCTCACGGCAAGTGTCCTGTGCCCCTGCAGGTGCCGCGGCTCTGCGTCAGGTGGGGCCTGGCCCCC